GAAAGAGAGAGAGACAGACACACAGAGACACATAACACACGTATATATCCACAGAGACAGACAGATACACAGACACACACAAAGACAGACACACACCACACATACACAGAGACAGACACATATCACACATATACATACACACAGAGAGACAGACACACACACAAAGACAGACAGACATGTGGACACAGAGAAACAGACATATAGAGACATATCTCACACACACACACACACACACACACACACACACAGACAAATACACACTCAGAGACAGCCACAGAAAGAGACAGACACACACAGACAGATACATAGACACACAGAGAGACAGACACATACCAAACATACACACACACACACACACACACACACACACACACACACACACACATGTCCTCTCAGAAGCACTACCTTCCCAGCCTCCGGGCTTAAGAAGTAAATGTCAAAAGTAAGAAATGGCTGCCAGCACCACTCAAATACTCAAACAGCAGGAAAGATGAACGTGTCTGGAATGAGGGTAGGAAGTCAGGGGGAGGAGGGAGACGGAGGATGTGGTAGCAGGTTCTGCAAGAAACTGTCTCATCTCTCCCAGGAAATCCAGCGACGACTCCTGGGTGAGCAACGGGACCTACCTTGAACTGAGGAAAGACCTTGGGTTTTCCAAACTGGACCATCCTGTCTTGTGGTGAAAGAGTAAAGAAGAGAGTTATATTAGGGAACTTCTCCACATCTGCTTCCGGAAGCAGCACACACCTGTGTCTGTATGTTTAAGAGATAATGTCTAAAATGATGGGCTTGTGCTTAGCTTAGCCTTGTAAGTACTGAAGTATATATTTTCTTCAGTAAGTTTCTTTACAATTTCAAGTGTTATAATGATTGTTTATATGAATGTAGAACACCTCGGTATTTCTTTTTATATATAAACTATTTAATAAAAATGAAAGATTGAATGTTAATGTGTGGGTTAAGAAAAGATTTAACACTAATTTTCCAAAGGTAAGGGAGGGGGATCAAATTTATGCCTTATAAAATCACACTGGAGAAAAAAATCTCCAGGTGCATTAAGAACTAAAGAACGCCCAGGGTTGCTCACCCGTGTGCTAGCTATCCAGTTTTAATTGGTAGCTGGGATATCTTTTTGCCTCAGACAGCACTTGAGTTGCTCAGACAGAACAAGTCTACTGGTGCTGAAGTACCAAGAATATTTTCATTTGCATTTTAGTGGCTAAGGAATCTTTCTAAGGTCAGTGGGAAGCGTGTTTTTACGGAAGGTGTGGGCCTCACCCATCTAGAAAGGGAAGCCTTCTCTCCCTGTAGATGTGATAGCCTGCCCACCCTTAGAGACGCTGCGTTAATCAGAAAAGTCTTTCTTAACTCAGTGTCCTGACCGCGTCCTGGGGAGGCAGCAGGCGTTCCGTTTTTACTCAGTGAGAGCGGAATCCTTGACAATTTAAGAAACTACTTTCAGCTTCCTGCCCCAACCCCTGGCTTGCAAGCCCTCCTTTTGGCCCCTGTTGTGGATGAAAATGTCTCCTGTTTAGTATAAGACATACAGTAACAGACCACAGCAGTTTGACCTTCTCAAACTTCAGCCAAGTCGCTGGTGGCTTTAAATAACCTGGCATGTCCTTCTCCCGAGCAGCTTTGGTATTCTCTACCTCTTACTGAGAACCGTACTTTCAACCTTGTACACAGTTTGACCATCTGCCTTATAGACAAGCATCAAGCATTCTTCTGTGTCGTCCCCAGAGAAAGCTGCAAGGGTCTTACGTCTTTCCTCTCTTCTCGTTCGTAATCCTTTGAGTTCTGCATCTGTCTCAGATAGGAGCTACCAAAGGGAAAGTGCTGCTCTTGTGTCTTCCGTCAAATCACGATGTTAGACTGTATGAAGTAGCTGAACTGTGTCATCAAAACAATTCTGACTTCTGCCCAGAGCACCTTAAAACCAAAGCCTGATTGTTAAGCCTTTGACTGGAATGTCTGTAGCTATTCTATGAAACATTGTGTGCAATGGTCGGGTAAAGAGGTTTCTGTAGAAATTGTTTGAGGAGGCCCGTGACAGCAGCTCAGCAGGTAAATGCGTTTACCATGTAAGCCTGGCACTGAGGGCAGTCTCCGGTACCCATATAAAAGGCGCAAGGAGAGAACCAGCCTCAGAGTGGACCTGCAGCACAGCACATAACCAATTGGATGACACCGAGTTCTCACAGCGGACTGTGGAAGGGGAACCGGTAGTCTCTGAAGTCTACAAGTATCTTGTCATTTTAAACAGCTCATTAAATATTGGTTCGTTTATTCTGTTCTATGGAGACATTAAGATGAACACAGTGGGACTCTTCATTTCCGTTTCTAAACAGCTGGACGGTGCAGCCTGATTTTTCAGTTCCTGTTTTGTTCTTTTCCTTTTCAAGTGCTTTCCACGTTCTGCTCACAGACATAGGAAGAGGGCTGTAGATTTAGGGGGTCTCAGTGGGGAAACAAATCTGGTGTACACAATGAGAGGATAAATGTGGGATTTCGGTAACATTGACTGTTAAATGGGCCTACTTGAGAGCCTGGCTCAAAGAAGAAGTAAAAACAATGAAAACAAAACAAACAAAAAATAATAAAAAATGTACCACTGGAATGGGCATGGCCTGATGGCTCCCGTTGTTTGAAATTTCTTAAATTATCTCATGGTGTGATTTCTGTTGACTTCAAGCTTTATTTTGGAATCACATAAACTGCTGGCCCAAACGTCACCTCTGTAATCACCTTACTTGAATCAGGGATGAGAATGAACAGAATATGTTCCAGAACCATGTGTGAATTCCATAATTGACTGGCAGCGTCTGGATAAAGGGCTTTCTGAAATGTAGATAATCTGGGGGTGCGTGCTGCTACTTGAATCTTAAAACTCCTTTCAGGAAGGAGGAGGCTGCTATGTTCCTCCCATCCGGTCTAACACACCCTTCCACCAAGTTTGTATGTCCAGGGCTTGTGTGTTTGCAAAAGGAAAAGAGAACTGTGGTGTTGCTTTGAGAAGAACTGAGGTAATTTCCTGGGCTCTTTCTCAGATACATCACACCAAACACTGCACCGTTTGATGTGCGTGTTTCAGCTCCGCATTAACTGCCCCATTTCAAGATTATGGTCAGTTACAGATACTCTCCCGGAGTGTTACCTTGTGCTCACCACAGGCCGCACTTCATGTGTTAACTCCCTTTTCAGTACTCACTGCCCCAGATTGCAAGGCGACATTAAGGAATGAGCATCTTCAGTGTTGCAAAGGAGGGGCCCGGTTCCCTCCACAGGTCCTTGGATGCCTGAAGGCTGGTCTTTCAAAGGTGGTGATAAAAAGCCTCGGTGCAGCTTCTGTCTGCAGTTCCTGATGCTAGGATCCTAAGATGCTTCTGGTACCTAAGAGGTGCAGGTCACCTCCCAGACATGGGGTGGGGGCCAGTTGGGTACTAACTAAATGGCTGCAGTTCACATTCCGGACACCAGGGGGAGTCTGGTACTAACTAAACAGATGCAGTTCAACTTAGACTCAGGAGGGCTCTTGTTCTAAACTGATGGGGGTTGGCCTTAGGTCATAAAAACAATACCTGCTAAGTAGCAAGAATGCCTCAGCAGTCCCCCAGTCTTCCAGGGCCTCTGGGAGCCTCTGAGTGAAAACTACACAAACTGTTAGCTTAATTTAAGCTGCTGTTTTCCTCATATCCTCTTTTTAATTACTTCCAATAAAACATTTGCTCAGCCTTCTAGCATTGTCTGTCATCTGCATTTGCCAGATTTTATGATGAGTTGTTTTACTCAACCCTTAGAGGTGTCAAGCCAAAAATAGAAGTAAGGGTTGCTTTGCTTTCTAATGAAGGCCTACTGTGCACACGGCAAGCTCTCTCCGGTGGCCTGTGGTAGCTATTCTGCCCTCCCACCCTCTAGCTACTAATAAGAGCTCTAAGTAGCTCTCATGGTCTTAGGAATAGGAGCTACAGTGTTCGGGCAGCATCTATTTGAATGTCTTTAGTTTTGATATCAACATCAGCATAAATCTATTTTTGCTAGCAGATTCAAGCTATTTTCACAGGCTCTGTTTTCTGTCTTGTATTGATCTGTGACTCAGTGTTTATCTTTCTTTGTTGGGAATCCACATATCAAACATGTATCTGCAAATCAAGGTGGTCTAAAGTGCAAGCCGGTTTTTTGTTTTGTTTTTTTGGAAGCTGGGGGTGCAGTGATCAGAAGTGACTCGTTTATTTCATTCATGATGAATTTTTTTATCTTCCTCTGTTACCCCAGAGGATATGCATTCTGGGGGTGGATATGATACTTGTAAATCTTCTATTAACCATTTGTAAAATCTAAGTCCTACCCCACTACCGTCCCCCTCTGGCTTTCCCAAAAGCTCCTTTTAGTTTGCTGTCTCTCCTCCCTTCTGTAGCTCATTGACTGAAAATAAAGAACATAGCAAAGGCCGCCTTTGTCTTTGTCTTTCCTGGTTGTGAATAGTTGTGGTTGATGGAAGGGGCAGCAGGATGTTGCCTGGAGTCTGTCTGGAAGAACACAGGTGCTCACCTAAAGTGACAGATACTGAGACAGTGAACTTGGCAAGCATTTCCCAGCATGCCCTGCCCTTGGAATAGCCACTAAGAGCTTCAGGGGGGTCACCTCTACTCCAAAGGAACCCCTATTCCGTTTACCTTTACTGTGCTGTAGAGATGCCATTTTGTGTGCATCAGAACATTAAGGGGCAGAGTGCTGACTACGCCTGTGCGGTCAGACAGACTGTGGCTGGTCCATCTTCCCATCCAACTTGCATCCCTGAGCACTCAGTGGACTTCATTTGGCTCAAGTTGCTGTGTTCCCAGCATTGTTTAGAATAACGTGGTTCTAAAGGAGACCTGAAAAGCAGCTTAAGAAAATTTAAAATTATTGGCCGCTATATGCTCATGTTGCTATTAAAGCTCCAAGGTTCAAACAACTGAGGAGACAGTTTGGAGCAGTACACTTCAAGCCATTAGTTTAAAATTCTAGTCATAAAATGCCAGTGTCGTGGTAGTCATTGTCATGAGGAGCGAGGAAGCGAGGACTATCTCCCCAGCTGGCGTTCTCATACACTTCAGAGTAGTTCTTCCAGGGAACATGGTCCAACCCAACAGATACAAGAGAATTACGTGAAGGGCTCGGAGCAAGTGTGAAGCAGGGGAGATTAACAAGGCAGGAAGCCATGACTGCCTCAGTGGCAGATGGAGCGCCCCAAAAACGAAGACACCAGCAGGGGTATGGCTCTGGCGTCCATGCTGCTTTGTTAGACAACCCAAAACTGGCTAGAAGAGCTAGCCCCACCTAGGTCTCAAATCAACCATTCGTGTAATGGTTCTAATGAGCTGGGAGGAAGCTCTTCTTCACTGTCGTTAAAGCTCATGGACTGGAAAAGACACTAAGATTCTTAAATTTCGTTAGAGCCCTGGGAGTAATTCTCACGTATGTATGTATGTATAGATCTGTGTGCGCGCACACACACACTTTAGCCCAGGTGTTTCAGACCTACACAGCCCAGGGCACTGTGTTGATCAGCGCTTTAACACCACCACAGGACTGAGGCAGAACTGTTACGCTGCTAAGAACAAGTTTCTTTTCGTAGATTCTGTATATGGTATTATAGCATCTTTAAAATTGAAAGTGGAAACTAGGCGACCTTGATTGGATTGGATTGGATTGGATTGGATTGGATTGGATTGGATTGGATTGGATTGGATTGCAGTTGGGCTTCTCTTTGTTGCCCAGGATGGACACTGCAGATGTGTGCTTCCATGCCCATGCTATTTCTCAGGTACTTTTCAAAAGGGCTGCACGAAAGGAGGCCCCAGCTGCTGCTGTCACGGAGTCCTGGGAACACATTTATGGAGCAAGAAAGGGTTCTAAGCCCAGACATTTCTCCACCTTCAGAAGCCACCATCTGGTGGCAAGCCAGTAGGTGAGTCAGCTATCACAGTGTGGTCAGAAGGCTCTGTTGCCCGCATCGTCCAGGGAGAGGTGATGGAAGTTCCTCTAAACTGGTGACGAATCTGGAGGAAGTCTGGGTCTCAGTGAGAGGGAAGAGAAAGGAGGGGCCCAAGACTGAAGGCAAAAAACAACTCATCCCGCTTTGACCCGGAGCTGCTGCAGTCTCGTATAAACAGATAACTGGTCAACCTATGCTACTGAGCTGCCATATCAGCTCTGATGTTCTACTAGAGCTCAAAGAGACTGGGGTCAGTGTTCTGGAACAAAGCAAACAAGTCCTCCATTCGTGACTAAACCGCTGCACTTGGGATTCCTTTGTTTACATCATCATGCCCTGGCACACACAGTACAAATGCTTTTGGTCCAAAGATCCTGTTGACCACTTTTTCTTGTAGCCTGGCCTCTGTAGTTCCTTAGCCATGTATCTTCAGTCTGCTGTCTGGTCTATCATGCCTGAAATCAATCTCTCATTCTCTCCACAGCCTTTTATTTTTATACGTCTGTGTGTGTGTGTGTGTGTGTGTGTGTGTGTGTGTGTGTGTGTGTATGGCACGTGTGTAGGCCCCTGTGGAAATCAGTAAGGGTTCTGATCCCCTGGAGTTTGAGTTATAGGCAGTTGTGAGCTAGCTGGCAAGGATTCTGGGAACTAATATTATGTCCCCTGGAAGAGCAGCAAGCACTCTTAACCGTGAGCCATCTTGCCAGCCTTTAAGGACAGCAGATGGGGCAAAGCTGGAGAGGATCTAAGACATGGCAATTTTTCTTTAAACAAACAAACAAAAAGCCTCATATGCTCTTAAACGGAGTTTGACACCCTGCCCTCAGAAAGTTGTTTTTTGTTGTTTTTGTTTGTTTGTTTGTTTTTGTTTTTGTTTTTTTAACCAGAATAAGTGAGTACCGTCATTTCGCTCCCTGGGACCTGCGTCAAAGCCAGGAAACACACTTAGGCTTACTGGTGGCTGGGGTGTGTCAAGAATGGCTCTAGGAAGCAGGGTTTGGGTCCTGACTTGGAGGGGTCCTGCTGATTAGTGAGTGAGCCACAAGGCTAGCCCCAAAGGAGCCAGTGATGCCGCAGAAGAAGCCCGCCTCTTCCCAGGAAATAATTGGCTGAAAAAAAACAGGAGTTGGCAGGCATGCAGAAAACACTCCACAAATAAAATGAAAGTAAGTAAATCTTTAACAAAACAACAATAAGCCAGAGTTCCAAAGAGTCACCTCCTAAGTGACATTTCCTGTCTCTGTTCTCTGGAGTGTCCCTAACAGCCTGTCACTCCATCAGTGTGCTTTGGGGTTCAGATCATTTATAGGGCCAGGCTTTGAAGCATCATAGGCACTCAAGAAGAAGCACCACCAATGTGGGCAATTTCAGAGTGCCCATGTCTTGGCCTTTTGGGTTGATTGACGAAAATACATAGCATGCTTCACACTTATCCAAGAGTTTAACCCCAGGCAAAGAATCTAGCTCGTGATAGTCCGGAGATGCCCCAGGCCCCATACACTGTTCATGGTGGCTCTTCTTACTCATTTCTGAGTCGTAAAGATACATGGCTACTGATACCGTTTGTCTCCTAATGGCCTCCAAAGGCCTGTGGTTCCATTGGGAAGCGGTGGGACCCTTGGGTGGTGAGGCCTGTACAA